GCGTTAAAATGCCAACATATAGGCTTAATTATGTCAAATATGGTTATTTGAAAATGAATTATTATTATTATTAGGTGTGCATTTTGCTGCAAATCGTTCATGTCAATGATTCAAGTCCGCTTTAACAGTATATGGAATTAATTGCTCTCTCTAGTCACTGCTTAGACTTCGTTTGTAGCTACTCCGAGGCTACTGCTAATTACATGCCCTGAACAACGAGGAGCTTTGGTCATGAGGTCAGCAACCGCATCCCGTAGAAAACAACATTGCTAAAAACGCTAACCAGTAAAGTGAAATATTGCTTGGCAAGACAAAATCGCTTCAAATTACCTTACAGTTGAAATCTTGTGATGCAGCTTTTGCAAATGTCTCACTAGTTACAGTATCTTTTGAACTAGGAATATGTTGGGATATTCAGAAAAATTTCCCAACAATTATCCTATTAAGTCTAATGCTATCCTCGAACGTGAAATGGTGTCATTTTCTTATTGGTCAATATTTATTTCACGTGCCATTTTCCTATTAGTCAATATTTATGGTAGTCCTAACTGTACAAATATGCATTTGTCTGTGAATTATTATTCCTGTTCCTATTCTTATTCTTCTCCTGACCCCATAAACAATTTCATCTACGGTTGGTGTTTTGATATATTGGAGATTGGGGTCGTACTGAGATATCTGAAGTTGGTCAGTCGGTAGAAATTAGAATAGCCATCCCGTGGTCCACAATAGAATACTAGAATTTTTCTATGTATATCACGTCTGCAGCCGGCAGCCACACAAGTATTAAGTGAATCATAATTTACCAGGATGCTTTGTAGAGAAAATTATAAAAAAACACTTTTCCCAGCTTTCCAGATACATGTATTCGACTATCATCACTGTTCAAGTGTTTCGATTGCAATCGAGGAGTTCGCAGTTGATTAGTGAGTCTTATACATTTAAGGACAGCCAGTAAGGTGATGTCAAGGACCACCACGGTTCGTAGATGTCATTTTATTCATAGTAGATTGAAATTGATATCCAGTATATCGAGTAACTGCTTAGTAAAGGAACAAACTTAGTGAAGTTTAGAGGCACATAACTGACGTTTGTGCAACTATCCAATTACACTAGGGAGACTCGAATGTTTATAGAGTTGCCAGGGTTACCTACTTGAATTCTATTACACGGTTTAATTCGGTACAAGTGTGAAAGGGTTTGTGGTTGTTTTCTTATCCAAGAGGCGTCACTAACATTTAAATTTAGTAGCTTCAGCACTGGAAGTATGTGGTATACAGAACATAGTATAAACACCTATTTATGATGGGTTGTGAGTGTTGTTAACATTGCTCGGTGGGGCTGTGATGCGAATATATCAGATTCAGCAAGAATGTCTTATCTCTAGATTGACTGCTATTATGTTAAGACATTCTATTATCTCTGAAGTATAATTCTGTAGTGACATTGGTTCTAACCACATGATCTTTGAGGCTGAACACAGAATAACTGAGAAAATTCACATTCAACACTCATCTGGGAGGGTCAAATCTAGTCACTTTGATTTAGTTTGAGAAAGACATTGGCTTTGATAGATTGTGCAAAAGCCGGTGGTGGGTCTCTTGGACAATCCAATTATCTAGTTGATACATCAATAGATGAGGCTAGAACCGTGTGTTGAGGCAATGAGTTCCAATGACCGATGAAACATGGATAGACTTCGTGGTATACCAACAAATATTCTGAAAGCCATAAATAAATCATATCCGCACGAATAATAAGCTCCTTTAGGAATGTTTCTTGTCGCTTGACAGCTTCAAAATCTAGAACTCAACTGTTGTTCTTCGGACACTTTAATAGCCTACATATTTATTCAGGAGTTTTAAGCTTTTACGTAATATTAAAGAAATATGCTTCTAGCTTTTCTAGAGCTATTGCCAGTACCAAGCCTGGATGGACGAGAAGGGTTAGGTATAAGGTCAGTTTTGTCTTAATGGGCCCAATGTTTATCACGTAATCTATTCGCCAATCAAAATACGAACTATTCTCTGTTATACTGTACTAGACCAATGACGTCCAACCGGTCTGACTAGCATAGTGTCCTACTGGTCCGTCGCTTGCCTAACCCGCCCATCTGAGTCCAGAATGCCAACAACAACCTCCACTATAAGAATCATTTATTTCAGACATAGTGGGTTTATATACTAAACGAACAGACCGCAACTCACCATAAAAAAGGAATAAGATTCATACACAATAAATCCAAAAACGTGGCTGTGATCGTGGGAGGCAGTAGCCAATAAACTGAACATAGCTTAAGAACAGTAAATCGTCCAATCATAATTTATAGGTGAAAATAAAGCTCACAACAAGGGGAATGTAGATATACATAACCTAGTTACTGAATATGCATACCATAAGAATTTATACATAATATTAGTTCATTAATAGGTCTCAGACGTAACTCGTAATGTAATCTTCATAAGAATATAACAGTCAACATCCCCGTTCCGTGCGAAACGACCCTACTAAAAAGGAGCGCTAACCAGAAAAAATGAATCAAACCATTTAAGCTCTGCTATGGGAGTTGAAGGAAAAATTGTGACGCATCATGAAGACAGCAGAGGTTCTTCGGGGGTCACGAGACTGATGCTCCTCATAACAACCAAGGCAACAATTTCTATGGGTACGTGGAACGTCCGGGAAATATGATAAACTGAGAGGACCAATCAAATAGCAACAGAAATGAGGATATACAACATGAAGCTTCGAAAAATCAGTGGAAAACATTAGAATCAAACTGCACAGCAAAAGGTAGATACAGGAGAGATGCTGTTGTGCTTCATTCATGAAGACAAAGATGCTCAACACACTCATGAAAATGTTCTGCTGCTGTCCAAAGAAGCACTCATTAGATAGGAATCTCAGGGATCCAGGATCATCAAAGCACCCTTCAAAACAAAGATAAAGAAAATCACAATGGAGGTTATCCTGTGTTATGCATACACCAATGATGTCAGAGACGACAGTGAAGATCAGTTCTACGAGAGGTTGCGATCGATCATAGAGAAGTGGCCGGGAAAAGACCCAAGTACCTGATGGAAGGCCGAATGTAAAAACACAATAGCAAACAAGCAAGTGAAAAGTACTATAATACCTGACAGGCAGGAATACATGGGAGAGCTAGAACGACAGCTTAAAACGCTGCAAGAGAAGGAAATATGAAACAACTACGTGACGCGACGAAGAATCTGGAAAGAAAATTTACAAACAAGGAAGACCAGTCGGGGACAAAGAAGGCAAGCCGATCCAAGAACAAAGGAACAGATGGGTGAAACACTTTGAAGAACTCTTGAATAGGCCAGCTCTATTGAATCCACTGGAAGTCGAAGCAAAACCTGCAGACCTTATGGTTGTCGCTGAACCAACGATCGAAGAAATCAGGACAACCATCAAACAAATCACGAGTTGTAAACCAGCAGGACCTGACAATATGCTGGCTAAAGCACACTAGTTAGACGTAGAAGTAACTGCAAAGATGCTCCACGTTCTATCCAAGAAGACTTTGGAGGATGAAAAAATGCGGGCAGACGGGAAAGAAGAATACCTCATGAAAATATCAAAGGAAGGAGATCTGAGGAAATGCGAGAACTACAGAGGAATAAGATTACTATCGGTACCTGGAAAGTTTTTCAAAAGAGTATTGTCGAACCGGAGGAATCAGTAGGCGTCCAGCTTCGAAATAGGTAGGTTGGATTCCGTAAGGCTCGGTCATGTACAGATCAAATCGCTACAATACGGATCATTGTTGAACAATCAATTGAATGGAACTCGCCACTATACATCAACTTCTTTGACTATGACAAAGAAATTAACAGTGTGGATAGGAGGACTTTATGGAACCTTGTCCGACACTATAAACTACTTGAGAAAATCGTCAACATCATCCGGAATTCATATGACAGATTACACTGCGACGTCATGCATAGAGGACTGCAGACGGACTCACTCGAAGTGAGGACTGGAGTCATACAAGGCTATTTACTTTCACCGTTTTGTACTTTTTGTGATGGTTGACTGGATTATGAAAACCTCGACATCAGTGGTGGGGGGGGCGGAACACGGAATACAATGGACAGCTCATGATCAACTAGACGTTCTGAACTTCACAAATCACCTAGCTCTCCAATTCCATTCACATGAGCAAATTCAGGTGAAGACAATCACTGTAGTGGGAGACTCTGCAACAGTAGGCCTCAACATGCCAAACTTCGTAGTTTTGCGGTACTCATGCAAATATCAATATCAAAGCTGTCCAATTAGATTTCGTTACTTACAACATGATACATGGGCATATACATGATAATCGATTGATATTATCTCTTTTCAACAATTACTATTTTTTTGATTGAGATCATGAATCGATGGATGTTAGACAGCCGCCGGAAACCTGGAAGCAATAGATGGGTGTTTCGCGCGCGAACACTTAACCTCTAGAGCACTGAGCCGGCATCCAGCGGTGTTAATGTCTAACTTCCATCGATCTATGAATGGCTGCGCAACCATTCGTCTATAGTCTGAGGTGGATACCTGTCTCTAACCGACACAGATTGAGCTCCACTGGGTACGAACAGAATTCCTACACTTGAATAGCATACGGAACTGGAAACAACTGTCGACCAATATCGAAATCATAATCTTCAATACGAACGAAAAGACAGTTCAACTGTACGGAGCCGAAAGTTGTGGAACTACTACAACCATCATAAAGAAGGTAAAAGTATTTATAAATAGTTGTCTACGTAAGATACTGAATGTCCGTTGACCGGATACCATCAGTAACAACCTACTGTGGAAAAGGATAAAACAGAATCCATCTGAAAAAAATGAAGAAAAAACGTCGATGAGCGGATCGTTTTGTGTCATTTAATGGAAAGAGTTCATTCAGTATGTACAATAAAAGAATGTAAGGATATTTGAGGTATTCTGCAACCAATACGAACATCAAGAGTCCACTCACCCGTCTTTCGAAAATTGTTAACAGAAAACATTGGAATTTGCGGTGGATTTAGATTGCTGCGGTGTTTTTTCGCGTGGGTTTGTTTCAAGTTCTTGGTAGAGTACAGGCTATCTTTTTCCTTTTTATTTCTCATTTGAAATTCGAGTTTTTATCATTCACTGCTCAAGCTGAATCCTGACCATAATGGTGTTGTTATCTCTTCAATAATGTTAATAAGTGCATCGATTTTTATATAAGAATAGCCTATGTACTTTTTGCACTTTATTTTTTAATGGAAGTTCTACATTTATCCTCATCGATTCTTTTTTGAATTTTACTTCTTGAAGGGTTTGGAAAAGTTTCATTGCTTCAAGTCGTTACATATGTAACAACTGAATAGAATATTCTATTCAGTTGTACTTGCAGCCCATGATGGTTTTAATTGTCACGCTCAAGGAATTGAAATCTAAGCGTGTAAGACACATAAGGATAAGGAACAAGAGGTTTTTGATTGTGGTATTATGAACAGCAGTATGATATTAAGGACTAGCAATTTACGGCAATCAGTCAGCTACAACGTAGGACCATGCACATATGTGCGTCGGTCCAAGCTGCCATACCTCATCGGCACAACAAGATGAACACTGGATTCATAGTAGTTAATTCCGTGGTGGTAATATATAAAAGAAATATTGCATATAAGGACATAGTACAGAACAAAAGAATTAGTTCGTAGAAAGAAAGATATGAAGCTATTTTAATCTCTTAGCTTAAGGGAAGACAGAGAGTGCACACACCGACGCCTTTGTGATCTATTCTGAGCCATGTCACTCAGAGTCTCCAACCATTGGTTACGATATTCACGCGAACCCCAACCGAGTAGTCTGCATCTACTAACATGGCTCAGACCAGAAGTTAGTAACTTCAAGCACTGATGCTACGTTTTGATTTGGCCGCCCCTAACGTTCTTCCAGCCATCCCCAACACCGGTTAGCAATGTGCGTTGTGGTAATCGGTGTTCAGGCATACGCAACAAGTGGCCCAACCACTTCAGTCGATGAAGATGTACAACCTCATCAACTGATTTACCATCATCCCCTAATACCCTACACGTCTAACCTCACTAGAAAGAAATCACTTCATATCTTTCTTTCTACGAACTAATTCTTCCTTCCTATACTATATCCTTATTGCAACCTTTGACCTAACCACTCCTATGAATCCGGTGTTCATCTTGTTGTGCTAATGAGGTATGGCAACCTGGACCGATGCACATATGTGCCTGGTCCTACGTTGTAGCTGACTGACTGACTGAACCTCACTATTATTTATTCGGTGATCCCAGCAGAGGCAAGCAATATTTTTAAGACATCTGTGGTCAAGTGCCAGTAGCTTACGAGTATCTCCAACTCTTGATGGCCACGTTTCGCAGCCGTAAAATCGAACAGAACAAACTGCCGCGCAGTATACTTGTCCTTTTATTGATAGACGGATATCTCGCCTTCGCCATAAGTGACGTAAGTTGGCAAAAGCTAAGTGAGCTTTTCGAATCCATTCTGAGATTTCGCCAGACACCGACCCGTTAGGGCTGATCAGACTTCCAAGATAAGTGAAGTTGTCAACGCGTTCGACTACTTCACTCCCTATCCTTAGTCCAGGTGTTGACACAGACCAGTCCTGGAGCAACAACTTTCATTTAGAGGGAGAGAAGCGCATTCCAAACATTCTGACATTATCGCTCAGTGTTACCAAAAGACTTCATTTTATCAGCGTCTTCACCAAACAGTACTATGTCATCTGCGTATTCTAAGTCGATAGGTGGACCTCCTGGAAGGAGATCAATGCCCGAGAATCCAGTCGGCGAAAACATTATTTCCATCAGTAGGTCTATGATGAAGTTAAACGAAAATGAAGAAAGTGGACAGTCTTGACGGACACTACTTCAGGTTGCAAAAACAGCAAGTTAAAGAAGTAGACATACAGGTTAAGCTGATTTTCAGATCTTCAAAGACCTGATTTATTTACCTGACTTTAACTGATGTCAGGTTATGCCTTACTGACGTCAGTAAGTTATGCTTATTACGCAAGTAATTTCATTGTACTTCTCCAATCAATATTCGTTTATCTATCAAATGATGCTCAATGCATCTGTGGTACTTCAGTCGATCATAGTTTACGATCTCATCAGTCGAAATTCGGCTGTTACTTTACTCCTAATATTGGCACTCAGCCTCATCGCTGATGGAAACTATGTTGTTTGGGTGTCCGAAATCTATATTAGAACCTAAAAATTGCAAGTAGCTCCCTCACAAGTCAGGATAAGAAGAACAAAGATTTGATCGTTCAGTTCATGCAACAGTCCTAAATATGATTGGTTTCGATTAGCTGTTCTCGAAATGGAATAATTAAGGAAGCTATGGTCTTGGAACTTACATTGGTGGGGGTGGATGATCAGTTATAACAGGATTTTCAACTACGTAATCATGAACAGTCGATGGCAGTGACCTGTAGCATATGATTAGGTCCAACTTCCAAATTTTGCTATCACAATACAACAGAATATCGTACTAAAATACGTAATCACCAAATTCGTAAAAATTTAGTGGGATACCAGAGTGAACGCTTATCACATTGAATTGGTTGATTATCTTAGTCTTCTTATCGGGGTAGCGATTACGTTTGTTTGTTTCTGCACTCAGTGCATATCTACTCTTATTGTCACAATGATCCTCTCAGTTATATCACAAATTATGTGAATCACTGAAGTTGCCCAACATGACTGAGTCAGTGGTCTGTTTTTTTCGCTATCGTTCTACTAACTCGCAAAGTCTCAAACCCATCATTCGTGACGGTTGTGAACAATTGTTTTTTTTGCTTCTTGCTTTTCCCTTTTTTGTGTACTGAAATACCACAGGTATCTTGCCAGATATTTTATGTAAAGCACGCTTAGATTAATTTCTTGGTGTCCATTTAAAGGGAGCTATGAAGACCGATCTTTTTCCCACAAGTAGCTGAACGTTGCTCAAAATCATTGCTACTGTTTGAAAAAAATTGTTTGTTGTGTACTGCTCCTCACTAATCCTGGTTAGTGTTTTGTCCACCACATCTAACAATTCCTCTGTATACTTAGTAAAAGGTACTAGTCAAGAATTAGTGATTCATTTTATAGTTGCAGCAAACAGTTGGAATCGTAGAGTCGGAAATAGCAGCTTAATGTTTTTCATCTTAGTGAAGTTCAATTCTTTATAAGTTGGAGCCATTTTTCATAACCACCACGCTGACGTTTAGGAGGAGACTAAGAAAATTCCAGTCTGCACTACAATCACCGTAAGCAGGGACTTGAAACATGCGATGATCAACATCCTGACCCATCTGAGTATTTACATTGGATAACTCAAAGATGACTATTTACTCGAAGTAGCTATTTATAAAGTAAACTAGTTATATTTTCCAGATCCGTGATCAGTGCTTAAGTTATGCTAATCAACTCTCCGTTTAAATATAAATCATTAGCCATTTGATCATGGGGACATGTGAATTCACATTTAATTGTGCTGTACATGTTATTCTAACCCTAAGCTCTCGGTACCATTACGTTTCCATTTGATTTTATTATATTTAGAGTGTAGCATTATGAACCTACGGGATAGTGTCCCAACTGATTAAATCTAGCCAACTAATTATTTTTGACTAGTTGAAGAATTATTGGGGATGAGACGTACTCTCATATCGTCATGCTATAATTAGTCTTGATAGTTCAATTATATGTTTCATTCTGCACAACTTTTTTTATAGGTTTTCAGGTATGAGTCACTCATAATTTTATACTTCAACCTTAATGTTTACGAGGGTTCGACATGCATCATTTTTGGAGGTCATCGGTCCGATCGTCGAACAATGTTTGTATATATTCATATAAAAAGTAAACAATATGTGCAGCTAATTACAATCCACAATAACGCATCTCTTAGCTCAAGATTTTCTAACTGGTTAACTTTTTATATATTTAAATGCATCACAAATATATTTTATATACATCATGATCTCGAGTTTTCTTTGTTTTAGGGACAGACCAATAATTTTTAAATGTCAGACACGGCATCTGAATATGCATGTTATATTCTAAATAAGTATTTTGGTGAAGCTGCCACAGTAAGCACACATATTCTGTGTGTTAAAGGTTCATCAAGTTTGTCGGAAATTTTAAGGGATTCTCACAAAAAGTTACACTCAAGTCGAGTTTGCAAGTTAGTCTTGTCCTCATAATTATTAATAACTGCATTTTAGATGCCTTATTTCACTTATCAGACATTCCATGTTAACTATACAGAAAGATTCGATATTAAAATACAGTTTAAATTATGAACGAATATATTTTGTGCCAAGGTAATGATGATATTAATAATTTACTGACTTGGATATTGTTCTTCATTTAGACTTCCATTGTTTTGCAAACTCGTGTTTCATTACTATGGCAAGGTTGCTGAGCAGGCTATGATTTATTTCTCTATGTTTGGGCGTGGATCTTTAAGTGACCTGTTAGTGTATTGTGTTAAAAAGCATCTTCATAGTAAACGTAATGTGGCTATTCTTCAGTGCTTTTAATCTATTATAAAGTCCCTGTAGAAGAACAACACAGCTATGTCGAAGCTTTAGGAACCACTGTGACCACTCTTGTTAAAACCAATGTCCTGCAAATTGTAAATCCGAAGCTGTGGTCAGTTGAATCTAACAAGGAAACTAATTTATCGGCTGTACCTTCTCGAACAGCTGAAGCACCTGTACATGTCAATGTCTCGGAATCTGAAATGCAAATACCAAAGGACGATATATGTGGTTAGTTACCTGAACTATCCTAATTCACTTCCTTCCTGCCTTCCTTGCGCGATTTACCATGCTAGAAGTAATATTAATTGACTTTTGTCTACACATCGTCTCGTTTTTTTTACAAGAGCTGTTATACAGATCAATAATTTCGTTTTACTTATTTATTTTCTAATTCATATTACCGGGTACGTGGCTTAGTATCTATGCGCTGATGTTTCTTAATATTGCTGATTATGCAGAGATTTATCTTCAAAAGTTTATTTTTACCAACTAATCAAAATATCTGTTTCCCAGCCAACGTTTTCTGTGCTTTTATATCGTATTTACAAGCAATTTCAAATACCAATTATCGACATAAGAGGTTTGCTTAGTAACAATTTGTTGTTCATCTGAGATTAAAGTAGGTCTGAGAATCCAGATGTATTTCATACAAAGTCTCTTCAATTGTATAATAATTAAGTATATCTTTTCGATGTTTCAGCAGCATGCTGTTCACGAAATTCTATGGTAGGAAGTAAATCCATGTACCGTTGTTTCCATGACTACGAGCCTACATTACATCAGGTATTAATCATGTTATTTCGGCTATGGAACTATTCATTCTTGAGATATTTTCTAAATATCGACTATCGAGATACTTTCTTACTTCCCAGCTGTTAACTGTTCAGATGTCTGGCGTTTAAACCGGATTGGTGTGTACTGAGGATTCACCTACGGGAGTGGAAAAAACCTGATTCCAAATCAATAGTACACATAGGCTTCATAGTTCTGAAGGAACAAATTGCGTATGAACCTATTGTTGGTCACTGGCTACCATGGATCAAGAGTTTCTAACGTTGCTCCCTTGTCTCGTGGATTAGACCTCTGGGTCAAAGGCTCAGGGAGTGACTTTCCAAGAAAATCACCTACTTCAGCTTGCGTATCTGAGCAGTATTCAAGGCCGCACACAAATTTAATGGTAACTGCTTTGTATTGCACATATATATTTTGGCGCCCCCTTATACTAATGTCTTCGTGCTTGAATAAATGAATAATAAACAGTGAGTGATAAACTTACTAATGTTGTTAAATGAAATTTATTTATTTTTAATTTAGAAGCATTACATAATTACATTTCTAGTGGATTTGTTAACTGGCCTATTGCAAATGAAAGAAATAATGAACCAGTGCGTAAACGTGTAAAACGTTATGATGAATCATCCGAGGTGATTTTATTAATTTCTGCATAAGATTTCAACATGATCCTCTAAATGCTTTAAATTAATCCTAGATACTCATAGTTGTAAGTAGTATAAGTTGTTTGTACACCAGCTGAGTAATGGTTATGATATTCAGTCTTCAATCACTAGGTATCATGTCTGAACCCCATCCATCTACTTAGGCCTTGTCAGCTGGTTAATATTGGTAGTCCTGGCTGGAATATGGATGCTGTACTTGGTGAGTCAGCCATCTCGACTTGTGATGAGTATAGGTCGTTCAATTATTTCATCTAATCACTTTTGAATAGTTGGCTCATATTTATTCGATCAGTTGATTATTGATTCGTAAATTGTGGCCATACTTTGAGTAAAGGTTTATTCACTCTGCTCACAGTCACGGTTTCTCAAAGCGAAGTAGATAGAGCAGGGTGTAAATTAAGCACTCATTGATCGCAATTAGACTGTTGATTACGACAAAAAATGAACTTGGACGATTAAAATCTTGTTTGAAAAAGGTAATCTAATATACTGTTACCTGGAAAACTGATGGAAATCACTAATCGTTATCGGTTAATACCTGATGAGTGAACAATGACTTTATGAATAACATTGTCATGTGATACTCGTCCTGATTGGTTTATTTATTCATAAAAAGATTCTGTAAATAATTTTAGATTGGGAATTTGTATGGAAGGCATTAAACAAAGAAGTATATTTGTGAAAATTTCGACAACAGAAATCGGGTGTTGGACAAGACTGCTAGGGGATTTCGCAAAAAAATTTATTTATTGACCATGAACCTGTTACATATATTAGTTAGTGTTTTTATTTGCAAGTTGTATTTATTACAGATTTATCGCCATCAGAACACCTTTAGAAACCAGGAGACAATAAACTACTGCTTCGTCTTAGTATGTGAGTACTCAGCATTGTGCACTAGTGACGTCACCAGGAATCTAACCCAGAACATCTAGCATTCCATTAATTCCTGGTTTTCAAAATTTCCCCCAACCGAGATAAATTTTCCTCATACATACAACCTGCAAATTGCATTGATCTCCACAAACCCTTTCAATTATTATCTTTTAATCAATCATTTTAGCTAATCTTTAAAAAATAAAATGATGTCTTGTTTTAATTTTCTTAACTTCAGTTAGTGAAATCTCTTAAATTGGTGGTCTGTCCAAATATTAAAACATTAGAGACAATGTGGAGAGATCGATTGATATGTCAGTTGGCAAGTGAAAAACTTGGTGAAGTAAGCTCTTTATTGTTCATTTTATTCTGCTAGTACATCTGTTGAATCTTCCCTCTTTTCTTTGGGAAGGGGGGTAAAGTACTTATAGATCATCTTTTCTTTTCTGATTTAGATATGCGGTGATATTCTTTCACATTTATTATGTATTGCTACAGCTGCTAATAGGGGCACAGGAATCACCTCCACAGAGTCAGGAGCCGTTTCACGTTCAGAGGTTGGTCTACATATTTCACTTTTTTCATAGTATGGATCATTAACAATAAATGATATAATTTATTCTATAGTTTCTTATATGCATATACAGTTTCTTGAATTTGATTCTTTCATGTGTAAACAGTAATATTTGAAGTATTGAAGAGAATAATTAGATTTTACTCACTTTTCACCATTTGTGGTTCATCTTATCCTTTATTGAAATAGTAAATACCATAACAAAATCACAATTTTTTTTCAGAATTATGATTCAATTATTTTATTTACTTACGCCTGTTACTTCCAATGGAGCATAGGCCGCTGACCAGCATTCTCCAACCCACTCTGTCCTGGGCCTTTCTCTCTAGATCTATCCAATTGTTTTTCATTCTTCTCACGTCTGTCTGTCTCCATTTCTTGGTGTAATGTGTTCTTTGGTCTTCCTCTTTTCCTTTGGCCTTGAAGATTTCATGCAAGGGGTTTCTTTGTGTTGTTTTGCTTGCCTCATATTAAATTTTCCAAATGAATAAATTCTATTTTCTATATATTTTGTTTCAGTTAAAGTGATTACCATGTCATTTTATTCTAACAATAGTATTTACCATATGTAATATTTGATAAGAATCTTATGCTCAAAGCACTCAATGATATAAAATACGACACAATTCTTACTTTAAAAAAAGGATAACATTGTGAAAAATTTCATAGATACTGATCGCTTAATAAATTTAAACAAACTGAGAAGGTTCACAGAATAACATGGATTCATTTCAAGGTTTCTCATTCGCTTCAAACTACCCATAGTTACAGTTATACCTACACATTAATCAGGGAAGTTGAGTTCAAAACGAAACAGAGGAAAACAGACAAGAAGAACAAAAACATGGGTAATACAATAGTTAAAATTGTTCAGTATTTACATGTTAAAAGTAAAGTTAGTCATATAAGAAAGTGGATGGCATCAAAATAATGAGATAATGAAAAAAGACATTTTTTAACAACTAAATGATAATCAAACCGAGTCATAAATGTCAATGGAAATTTCTACAATATATGGTAAAACAAAATAAGATAAGATTATGTAGTTGACAACTGTTGGAACAATGTAATTGTTTTACTATGGAAACAAGAGGTTTAGCATATTTTATTTATACGATTGTCAAATGGAAAGCGCCTAATAGTAATCGCCTTTGGAAAGCAAAGTAAAGGCGATGTTTGCTGCTTCTTAGGATTAGGGGCACCTACGTTATATCTACTGTCCAGTGATCGCAGTTGTAAACAGTTTACTTGTTTAAAACACAGCTTTCAAGGAATATGTTCATAAACCTTGTAAATGTGCTTCTGTCAGTCTTTCCTACTCACTTGCTGCTTCAAGTACAATGAAATTCATAAATAAATTTGTAGTTGATTTTGGAAAAGTATTGATCCACTTGTGATTGGTTAAGGGAACATCCGGTGTTATATACTGGAAATCGTTGGGCTTCAGGGAAGCTTTTTAGTTTTTCCTTAGTCATTTAATCAAATTCAAATACAAGACTGATGAAGACAACTGTAAAGAAAAATCTGTTAGTTAAGGTATAATTAATGTGGATATATCAAATAATAGCTATCTTTAAGAAATGACATCACTTTATATAACTGAAACCAACAATCAAATGAATTTATGAACTGAAACTATGTCTTGAGGTCTGTTCAACATAATCCTCCTATCCTTGATAACAGCGTGATAAAATATGCGGTAGTTTTGTTCATCATAAATAATGATTTGCCCTTCTCTTTTCTATAATTTGCTTATTTATTACGACAGCTTTTGCGAAGTATGCGAATTGTACCGGATCATATATCCTCGTATATATCCTTACTGATAGATGATGAGGTAATTATGGTATGCTTTTTTGCTAGTATTAAATGTAAGCATTTTAATTATCAGTGTTTTTTGCACGCTAAGTGAATTTATAGTACTTCAAGCTAATCGTGCACAAAATTAAAATCCATAATCAACACAATTATTTAGCTTTCGGATTCAGTGAAACGTGAATTGTTATACTCTTCACTCAATCCACAAAAATTTTCAAATATCTACCGTCACCTTTTGCATTTTCTTTGAATACTTCAGGGTTATTTTTCCTCCACGTTGTTTGAACGTATAAAATTTGCTACTTCATGGTGCTGTATAGGCCCCATAACCTCAACGTCTATGGAGAGATTTGTATTATCTTGTAAAATTTTCTTAGTGTTTTCTGTCTTTGGCAATATAGTCGAGAGCCTTTGGGACTTAATCACTAAGACATATCTGTCAGCTTAGAGCTTTCTTTGGTATTTTAAGGAATTAAACCTATATTAATAATTAATCATCCGAACTATGGTTGACTCTCTAAAAAATAGTTTTACATATGAGTGAGTTTATTGATTTTTAGCAATCAGTGTAAATATCTCAATCGTAAAGTAATCTACTCGCACTCTAATGGACTCAGTAAATAAGTCTCAGACAATGACAGGCTCGAACCCAATGTTAAATATTCACCTCTCTAAGACTCCACAGAGTGATTTATTCATAAATTTCTTACTGTCTTTATAAATAACATCATATCGATTGATATATTCCATCTTCAGGATTTATGTGCTCAACAATTAGTACGAGATCAGTCAGTAATCAATATGATAGAAACATCTAAAATTCAGTATAACTTTTACTTGTGTATTCACTTGCTTTAAAAGTTGTAAATTAGATAAAAAGTATAAATAACTTGTAACTAGTAAATTGTTTCATTTAATCATCAAGAAGTGTTTTAATCAATGTCTTATCCTTATATTTTGATAACTGCATAGTTATTATTTATTTATTCATTTCTAAAGATTTCCTTTTTTTTTGTAGGTAAAATTCCTTTTACAACAACCTGGATTAGCTGGTTACATGTACACATGTCGTATTCCTTTTTTTGGTCTTTGATGTTTCAACACCAATTGAGAATACTTACCATTTTAGAGTTTCATAACCATGTCATCTACATTGAGGTGAAATAATCAAGATTATTACTAAAGTAGTGGAATAGTAAAATGAATGCATTTTTGTCAGATAAAAACGTATAAAATAATTTTCCGAAACTTTATGATCGAAGGGAAGACAAATGATGAAAGCATTCACTAGTTAGCAACTATTTTCGAGAATATTTCCAACTGTTGGTTACATTAATTACGTGGTCTCCAACTAGAGAAAGTAGAAATAGCATTATTTGTACTTCATGTTGAATAAGTTTTTTTAACTTTTATTACTTTACTTATCGCTCTTGAGGTATTTGACCAGGATTCTTCAACCAACTTTGTTCTAAGCTCTCCTTTCTAGTTGTTGTCAAGTGTAATTCATTCCTTTGATGTCATGACTTTTCAAACTTGTTACAAGTTAATCAGTAGTAACATTTCAGCTAAATATTCTTATTTGATCCATGGTTGAGAAATTAATTTATCACTCTGATGTTTTCAGTATACATTTGTTTTTCCTACATAGAAACGATAGTTATTTTTAGTGCATAAGTTTTGTTTGCAGTTATCTTTTCCTATTAGTGAAAAATGTTCATTTCATAGAAAGAAACAAAAATATACTACGAATGTCAGTAGTGAAATATTCACTCAAAGATGTAAAAAGACAACAGATTTTAAGCATTATCTATCGCATTCAATATACAGTGAAATGTTTAGTTTTGTCATTTATATTATTGTAATAATTTCCTTAACATTTAATAATATCAGCTTATAAATATGTCATTAAACAACTATTTATCAAAAATGTGGAGTATATTATACAAGTCCTGTAAGTTGTTTTCTTATTTTATTTTTCAATACTTTTATGGTTTTTGATTGGGATCATGAATCGATCGATGTTAGACCACCATTGAGAACCTATAAGCGGTGGACGGCCGTTCCGTCCTAATATGGTACTCCTTGGCAGTGCTCATCCATGGTCTTTCACACGGGATTCCAATCCAGGACCTTCAGTCTCGCGCGCAAACGCCTAACCTCCAAACTAATGAGCCGGCATCCAACGGTGTTAATGTTTAACTTCAACCAATTCACGAATTTTATGGTCGAAAACTTCACTAGTTGTTTTTTCGAATTCCTTCAATAGCACGCCATTTTTGTAATTAATCACCTGCCGTTTTAATTTGAGACGGAATATGAGTACATACATGTGATATAATAATTATACTCACTTCCCCTCACAAAAGTTTTCTTCGCCTTTAGCTGAGATGAAGGAATATCAAATTCGCACTATCACACTGACAGGCAATTAACAAAATGAAAGCCAAGGAAATCCGTAATAGTAGAAAAATCAAGCATAGAGAATACCTTTTGAAAAGAAAGAATAAAACCAAGAAATCAAGGATATATAAAATAATACTTAGACTCAAAATTTAAAGAAATGTGAGCAGTGCTGCACTCAAATGCCCTGGCATGACCGAGAGTGCGGTGGGCCCGCTCTCCCTCTCGAAATGTTCTCACACAGCCACGCGTATACAGACTCTGCCAGGGAAGTCCTACTCAATGCCTTCTCGTGGCACTACTGTTGTTTACGAAATTAACAGGACGGAGAGCGAATGTCCGGCGTTTTAACCGGATTCCAAACCAATGGTGCACATGGGCTCCAGTATCCTGAGGGAACAAATGGCGTATGAACCAATCGTTGGTCACCGGCTACCACGGGACTGCATCTTCTCACGATACTCTACTGCCTTGTGGGTCAGACTTTTAGGTCAAAGGCTCCGGGTGTGGACCCCTAGGAAAACCACCTGTTTCGGTCTGGGCACCCGGGCAGTATCCTAGCCCTCACACAAATCGAATGGTTTATGTGGCGCATATCTACTTGGTGCCTCCTTGTACCAATGTTTATGTGTTTAAATAAATAATAATAATAATAAAATAATACTGCTGCACCACTACGTCCATTTTTCAACTGAGCTATACAGTTTTGATTTGTTGTTTACGATTTAATGTGAGTAGCTAAATCGTATAGATCAATTTATCAGAAAGTATTTGGAAACCGAATATATAAAATATTACATTTATTACTGAAGTTCATAATAATAATAACGTCTAGGTATATGTTACTTAAAATGTTAAATTACATCTTTGAATGACACTCTAACATGTATAATCAACTTAGTATAGTTTTTGAAGTTAAGTTTTGTTAAATTTCAATCCTTTTTAATTATAACTCACTGAACATTGAAATAATACTGAATCATAGTTTTTTGTCAAATTCGAAATTTTTTGAACCTACTCACCATCAGTTCCAAATGTTGATTTTTGTTTAGTCACTTGGGTTTGCGAAGCATGTCTATAGGCCTCTAGTGAATATATCATTTGTGTTATTATAACCATGATTCATATATGTGCAGTCAGTCAGTCAGTAACAACGTAGAACTTCGTACGTACATACATCAGTTCGATTTGACATACCACATTAGCACAGAGATGCAGTTGTCGATTCAAATCCCGTAGTGGTAGAGGTAGTAAGAGTATAAGCAGTAATCGGGAAGATTAGGGCTTGGAAATGTTATTTAAAGAGTATAATACAGTGAAATAAATTTGGGAAAAGAAAATAGAGACAAGGAGGAATCAGGAGATTTAAAATCTGGGAGAACACAAAGAGTGGATGCACCTGCGTCATTGCAAACGATTTTGAGCCATGTCATTCAGGGTCTCTGACCATCGGTTGCTATCATCTCGCGGTCCCCAACCAGGTAGTCTACACCTACCAATATGACTCAGTCTACTTGTCAGTGACTTCATGGACTTGTGCCATGTTTTAGTCCGGTCGCTTCTAGCTTTCTTCCAACCTACTCCTACACCAGAAAACATCGCACCTCGAGGCAGTTGGTGGTTGAGCATTCGTAACACATGTCCCAGCCATCTCAACTGATGAAGTTTCACTACTTCATCGATCGATTTGCCATCCTTACCTAGTACCCGTTTCCTAACAACTGAGTTACTTACTCGATGGTCCCAGGATATACGAGCAATGTTTCGAAGACACCTATGATCAAATACTAGTAACCTACGGATATCCTCTACTCTTACCGGCCATGTTTCACTGCCATAAAGTAGGACGGAACGAATTGTTGCGCAGTAAACACGTCCTTTGGTTGATAGACGGATATCTCGCTTACTCCATAAATGACGCATGTTGATAAAAGCTAGTTCATATATGTGCTCAATCCAGTATATTTTATTCTTGTCTATCATCCATGATAAAAGGTCTTACGTTATCTATAACTGGCTATTGGCCTACTATAAATTAACATTTTTTTCCCGTTTTTATTTTGAAACTTAGCTTTGAAAGTAATGGGTTACGTATTTTCCGATTTCTTCTGCTTTCTGGACCTTCAAATTTAGAAGAGGTGAATTAATACTAGTTTTGATGCTCAACTTTTCAGTAGTTTCGATATGAGTACATATTTTCATTTTGTTTTCCTTCGTAATAAATTACCTTGTTTTGGTGATGATCCTTTTTCATAAAATAATCACACATTCATTAAATATCTTGTTTATGCTTACATTGATAGATTGTGGTCGATTATTATCGTTTTGAATTATCTAATGTTCGGTTTATTGGTTAAACCCCTTTTATGGACAACAATTTCTACATAAATTTATCCATAGTGTAATAATGGTTATAGAAGCATCAAAATATCATTATTAGAGTTTGTTTTCGTTTAAATAGCTCATAGCGAAATAACATTCACTTTTTCGAACAATGTCTCTGTGGACACTGTTGTATGGCTTAAAGTGGAGTGCTTGAATTTCTAAATAATTACCGAAATGTATTAAATTAAATAAAGTTACGTACTACTAGGTACATTTTATCAGTAACACAACTGAAACACCCTGAAATAATAATATTTCAACTGGATTTACGTCTTATTAAACTCTTTCAATTATTGGAAAATGGAATATGCTTTGTTAGATCAATGAATTTCGATCAGCATTAAAGTATCGTTAACATGACACTAATTACTATCAAACGATCATTTAATTTATGTTTATTTTTTTTATAATTGCCTATTTTAAACGAGATATTTTCATTCTGGTATAAATTGACTGACATGATGTTGAAAGGAAAGTAGTAGTTTCGCTGTTTTGATCATCACATTTCTAAATGGCCAAATTACTATGAGCATTATCATAGTTGTATGAAAGAGAACAGTTTCTTGATTCATCGACCACATTGCAATTAATTAGCATAAAGCTTTATTTAGATTTTGTTTTGTAAAGTATTTTCACTTAATGTTATCTACTTTCCACATTAATCATATTATTTCATTTTTGTATTGGTTGTTTGAATCTTCGCATTCATGTTTAGGACTACAACTGACCAGTCTCTTATTGGTATATGTACATCCTATGCGGATTGCCTCAATATCCCTTTAAGTCACAAGTATTATAAGCAGATATCATATTGTTGTTATTATTATTATTATTGTTAGATTTATTTTCATTTCTTACTCTTTATTTTAGACTTCTAGAAATTATCTCTACATATCGCTTGTTCTTTTATAGTTAATTTCTTCTTAATTATACAATTAAGTGTTGAATTTCCTTTCTTGCCATCATTTTTTCTTTTGTTAAATCATTTTCATTGTGTTCTCTATAGGTTGAACGAAAAGTATTGCTTCCCCAAAGTGATTTCCGACGAATACTACCACGTATGGTATCTATGGGACTTATTACAACAACTGTAAGTTGTCATTTACATATTGACTTATGCATAAATATTGCCAATAGTTTTACTAATATTGAGATTGTGGAAAATGTTTATGGCTCAGGATAATGATTTCCAGGGTGTTTCATTCTGTGAGCTGGATGATTTGATCATGAAGTTTACATTGTCTTTGCCGACAATACCATCACTACAGACGTCAATAAGAAATGAATTGTTAGAATTTCTCCACAATATTGACTATCTCCTTGTTCTGTTGACCGAGAAGAATTTGTTTGGTTGTTACCCATGCGTGTGCGTGGGCGTTATCCACATGGTCGTTTTGATTGTTTTCACCTATAACTTTGGGGTTGTTTATCCTTTTCCTGACTATTTGATGGATTAGTTTAATTTCAATGTCTATTGATTGATCTGTTACCAGTGTCATGCTTCTAAGAATTCACTAGCTTTCTTTGTGCCTTATGTCCAGTATCTTAACATTTTCTCAATTGAAATCATGTTTATGGTTGTTCATATGTATTGGTTTGAAAGAAGTTATTTCTTGGCATTTAACTACTAGCTGATGTTCATGTAGACGTAGACGGAACAGGTGATCGCTTTGTCCTGTTTAGGGCTTCTCATAATTACTGGAAATGAAGTTGAAAATGATGTTTTTTATGTGTTGTAATTTGGTCTGGATAACATCCATATTGTTTTAATGGCCGAATCGTTCGTATAAGCTTTATTACAGATCCTTCAAGACGTCGATTAGTCTAACGATTATTACATATACCTTTACAATGTCTTTGGAATTACGATAAAAAAGTGTTGTGTATTGGAATAACGAAAAATCAATGATAAAATGTAGGCTGCAGCAGTTGGTACTAAAGAGAAACAAACTGTCCAGTGCTTCGCAGTCTTCAATAGTTTTCTGACTAAGGCCAGTTCATGAAGTAAATTATAAAACTAGTGAGATAGTTGAATTCGTTATAGAAAATCTCTAAAGCAGATAAAAACTGGTTAACATTAATTCCGTTGCTACATAATTAGTCAATTTAGGGAAATAAACTTCAAATATTATGAAACTTTAGTTTTAATTAGGTTGCTTCTGTATTATAACATAAATTGACCTGATTTATAAATACAAATTATTCAAATCTAGTTTCGTGGCCTTGATGTATTGTTCTCACTTCGAGATTTGAAGTTGTTTAGCTGCGTAACTTGCTGAATAGTTAGTTTTTGTTCTTGAAGGAAATCATTATTAAAGGCAATTGAATGGTTATAAATATATATTCCTCTTCTATTAATCTATAAATATATTAGGAACTATCGCGAACAAAGGAATACACAGCAGATACTATCTTTTGTTTGTATTCCATCAATTTGTTGCAAGTTGCTCGATTGGTAATTGAACTTTCGCAACATGAGGTTTTTCGTATCTCTTTGCGTCGTGATTATGAATTTTCACAGAAAAGGTATGCTATTTAATTTGCTTTGTTGTGTTGATTTTTAAAGCGTGTAATATGATATTACTCATTGTTGTCACATCTAATTTTCAGTGATTGATAATATCTTCATCTAAAAGAATCTGAAGTTCTTGTAGTTATATATATATATATATATATATATATATATATATATATATATATATATATATATATATAGACCTTAAACGTTAATACCGTTGGATATCGACTCAGTGGTCTAGAGGTCAAGTGTTTGTGCGCAAGACCGGAGGTCCTAGGTTTGAATTCCGTGTGTATGGTCGTGAATACGCACTGCTGAGAAGTCTCATAGTAGTACGAAACGGTCATCCAGTGCTTCCAGGCTTTTGTTGGTGGCCCAACATTGATCGATTCATGGTCTCAATGAAACTCCAACAATCTCCACAACCCTATACTTACAATTCTTAAAAATTGTTGTCTCTATTATTCAAACCTTGATATCGATGACTTGTCTGTCAAATTGATGATCCTATAAATTGAAATCATTGTCAAATATCTGTACTTGTGATAGTTGTATGTTTTTCCTTTTCAGTCGTCTAATTGAACAACGTTACCGTATTGAATCTCTTATCCTGCAACATCAGGCTAAGTTGAATGAATACAACGAATCATCGTCTAGTGCATCTCTAAATGATTCGAATGAGTCTGAATCACAACACAAAGAAAGTATAGAATCTTTGAAATCTTCAATAACACCTGCTGAACTGCATCAATTAACAGTTTTGTCAGATAAATTATCTAAGTAAGAACTATTTTCAACTTTTTTCACAATAATGTCTTTTAGAATGTTTTGTTGCATGGTTTGTTTTCAGTTTATTTTAACTCACCTTGTTTTATTTCTTTATGAGCGTTTTATTGTTTGTTATTGCGTTCGATTAGTTCATTATTGAATAAAATTTTAATGCTTCTTTGAAACACGGATTAGTCTTAATAGTATTAAACATACTTTTGTTAATTTATGGAAGCATGATTCTGCGATATACTCATTTTTTTCTAGGTTGTAAGGGTGGCATCGCCAGTTGCTGAGTTTATTTCTACTTAATCACTTACGCATGTTACGCTTCGTAGAGGAGTATAGGCCACCCGTCAGGATCCTGCATACAATTCTGTTCTAGACAATCCTTTCCAGTTGCTACTCATCCTTTTCACATCTACTTCCAATTATCGACACAGTGTGTTCTTTGGTCTTCCTCTTTTCCATTTCCATTCAGGATTTCAAGTTAGCTCTTGCCTCGTGATGCAGTTTGGTGATTTCCGTAATGTATGTCCTATCCACCTCCATCGTATTTTCCTAATATCCTCTTGAGCTGGAAGTTGGTTGGTTTACTCCCACAGTAGGCTGTTGCTGTCGGTATCCGACCAAAGGACGTTGAGTATCTTGCATAGGCAATAGTTTATAAGTACTTGTACTTTTGATTTCATTCTGCTGCAATAATATTTCTGTAAAAATACCGCGAAGAATAAGCCTAAGTTGACTTTCATCGACCAGTTAATCAATCTGTTTTGTTTGAAGTTGGACATTTATAGACAATATATCTTCATATGGATGGCCTGGAAGTCGTTTTACTGATAGATGATTCGTCTCTTTCTGTTAACTGCGACGTTGATCAATATTACTGCGATACATTTGATAACGTTTACAGATATATATATATATAAAATACTTACACTTCATCTTTACACAGAAAGAAATAAAATCATTAGCAAACCTTTTGGTTTTTATTTTTTTTATTAACAAATCCATATATTCATTGATTATCTTTGATTCTAATTTCGTTTTATTTTTTAGGTTAATTAACTGTGAATACAAATGTCATACAGCATGGTTTGTAGCTGATCTTTTTCTTCGTTTACATTCTTGATTACATTAAACGTAAAAATCTATGTTCTCCAGTTGTATGTAAATAATTTTTATGCTAAGTTACCCAAGGTTTCATGATATATAGAACATAAATGAATCTTGTAACGTTTTAATGATTTCAAAATATATATTACTGTTTTAGGAAATGACGTTTTGGTTTACCATCGCTATTGTAACGAGTACATTGTATTTATTCAAATAAAGTATTAAAGTAACTGCGTATTGCTGTCATCTTTTTCTGTTTAAACGGTCGTATAACGATAGCTTTTTCTATGGCGTCTGGTGTTCATATAGGCCCAACAAAAACGTTAAAAGTAGTCTGGGTTAGTGTATTATAAGCTAGCCTTCGTGGTATTATTGATCCTCTTGGTATATATCTTCGTTGATGACATGATCATTTTTCATTTCCTTAAGAATTGCTAACAAGACACTAGACTTAAAATCTGTTGTCCGTTCGATTGAATTTTCAAGTTGAGAATGTGTGTGGAGTTTGTTAATTTTCTCATTCACGCCTATATATTGAAGATTTGAATCTAAGAGAATTTGGATCATATACGAGATATTATCGATCTAATTCTTAGTCTAATGCAGTGTTGTGGACTGGATTTATATAGGTCTAGAAATAACTTATGTAGATACGTAGCATCGACTGGACGAACAATCCAAGCAAAATCTAAAATTGCAGTAAATTTATAGTCCAAACACCGTAAATTTCTGGTATTTGTATTTTCTACTTGACCATGGATATCTGTAAATGGAAATTAAGCTGGCAGTGATCAAGTAAGGAAAAAACATTCTAGGTGATTATTCCTGACGTTAAACTGTGTATGAATTGATTAGGCCGGACGATGAAATTATATTCGATAGCTGATCGATTTTTGCCTACATATGCTACAGACATATGTGTTTGCAGTACATTGTAGCTATACTTACGGGGAGTTGGTATTTTAAAAGATATATCATACAGGAACACTAACATGCTACTAATGCTTGTTAAATAACAATGATATACGTTTATAATCGTAGTTGAATAGTTATTTCGATCGGCTGATCGATTTATTCGAAATCGAGTACTACTCAACATTGAGATAAGACAGTAAGTGTCCTCAGTAATTGACAAACTTAAGCAACGATGGAAATGAGAAAGAATAAGTTTAGGATGCATTCATGATGCTAGTCTTGCAGACCATTGACGTAGACGATCTGTGTCAAATGTTTGGAGGCTACTCGAGTTAGATGACGGTTGTGTTACCAACCACCTAACATTGAAGTCACAACTTGCGGTTAGTATCCGACGTAGATTATCCTTTCGTCGTGTCCCGGCGCTGTGGCTGCTTTGATGACTGTACAACAGGAATGACGTCATTACAGAAATATATTAAGGGTAGCTACAAGCAGCAAAGTGCGATCACCTCGTGGGCCAGTCCATGGTATGCAATTAACTGATGCTCCTTGGTTGTCCTTGATCTTGAGTGGTGAACTGTTCGATACTCAGTAACCCGTCTGCAGATTGATTTAGCTAGGGCCCAGAGACATTTTACTGGTTCTACAATACTCTATCACTGAATTGGACGGCCGTTTGAATCGACACTATACTCGTCGTGGGGAAGTGGCTTTCCATAGGTTGCCAAACGATGGATAAGAATACTCCAACCATTGCTGAGATGTAAGACCGATGGAAAAAAGAAGGCAGTGACTGGTAAGTGAATAGCAGGTAGTGATAAATCCGGGAATGTTAGATTTGTTGATGTGCTAAAAAGTATGGATTTCAGGTTGGGTTAGAGTTAAGCAGTTAACGATGAGGATAAAAAACTACGATATTTTCAAGTTCCCTCAAGCCTTTTTGAAATAAGTTACATTGTTGAGTGATTGAGTTTCTCAATTAAGCAACCTTCAGTTCTCTGCAAGTGTGAAGATAATATATTGATAGTACTAAAAGTGTGTTATTAATTGGTTCAGATGTTTGTATTAGCATTGATTTATAGTAGAGAGTTATTCTGTATCGTTAAAATGTCAAATTATATCTAACGTATGTTACAACTTATTTTCTCCCTCATATTCATATAGATAGCACCTATTTTTATCATGTAAAGATTTGTAGTGACTCACTTTTATCACGAGAACACGATTGGTTTCATGAAAGCAATTACTATTATTATAACCGATTGTACCTGTGCTTGTTTAATGTGCTCTTTATTTAACTCTGCTAAAAAGCATCCATTATTCTCACACCTTGATTGTGACCTCACGCGAATTCAGTTACGTTCTGTAACCAAGCTTGTCTCCTGGCACGATATCGGTATCCTTTCGATACCACGAGATCGCCAGCAAATATATCTCGACTAAATCCATTAACTACCTTTCGATATTTGGCTTCTCAGGGATTTTATGGATTTATTTGGCACGCGTTCTCTCGTAGTGATGTTCATAGTCAACTGGGACTCGACCCTACGCTACAGTGTAACGGCATTTATTCCCAACTATACGATCTTTGAAGCTGAGTATATAATCACTGAGGATTTTACACTTAACATGTAACACTAAGAGAAAACCGACAGTGGTAACGTGAGAGAAAGGAATCGAATTGGCATGGCTCGACCATGCATGCGTGGTCAATGTTTATAGCATTTTTCTTTTTGTATCCAATATACTACCCTATTACTAGGACATATGCGCTCTTCGAAAATGTTAGAAGTCCTATTGCTGATTGTCATGGTAGGGCGAGTCGGTGTGACTTCCGCGTAAGATCTTATAGGTTAGGCAATCACCTCATAACAAATCCACCATTTTGGAGATAGTTCTATTATTGTTGTATTACCAATAACGAACTAGGCCATAATAATGTGTATATTTAACAGATTAATTGAAAGTGCAGAAGTGTAAGCATGAAGTTATTGATCAACTTTCGTCAGAGCTTTTGGTGCTGATGATTTTCGTTATGATAAGTAAAGGAGAACACAAGGAAACATAAGATAACATAAGAAAACAGGACTGTCACTCCAGACTCATGTCAACAATATTTATGCAAACGCTGTCAGTGGTGGTGTAGAAACAACACTGACGTGTTGAGATTGCTTGTGTTGATTCAATATGTTTTTCTACAGTAATGCCGACTTAAAAGGAATGATTATACATGGTTACGACTAAAACGTGACGGGAGTGGGGTTAAATGGCCCGTAGAGAAGAAAGAATAGGAAGCAAATGACTGTGAAAATGACAGTACGAAATGATGACTTATCTCATAAAAATAGACTGAAACTATTTATCCTATAAGATGCTGAGACATTAGAGTACTCTAATTCTTTAAATAGGCCACTGCACACCAGATTATTCCTCTCCAACATTGGACCATAAGTTTCACGACATCTTTTCTTATTTTTCGCTGCTAAAAATAGACGGATCTTACATTTACTGTGACAGAAAATATGACAGGATAATACTTTACCTTTGGTTTCTTTTTGACCTTGAGTTTGTTTGTACACGTAAGAAAGAACTATTTACTTGGTTACGCGTCACTTAAGTTTAATCATGTGTTACCCAGATCCAGACCTAACTTTTTGAGTAACACTATATTTCATATTTATGGTCATACACTTCCGAGAACATCACAGTGATTTAACAGATGAAATAAGCATGTATGTTTAAAACAGTTTGAGACTCGAGAAACTAATCGTTGTCACAAAATGCACAAATGTTTCATTCGTCTTTAAATCTGCAATAATTGAGTTGAAAATGATTGTTAAACCGTCATAAAAAGGTGGCTTTTAGTTTCGAGTTCGTGGTTTTATTGGGATGTTCCAATCTTGTTAATATTTGTGCCAAATGAGTGCGACGAAGTGTGAAGAAGATATTACCTGTAAGTATGCTATTCACTGATGTAATGATTCTTGAAAACTTTTATACTATAACTTATTATTCGTTTCAAGTTCAAAGAAAGAACTGTGCTTTCTTGAAGAATTTTGAAACACAAAACCTGAGCACGTTTTTCATATTCTATACGAGCGATACGCAAAATATAAAGGAAAATACTCATCGACCAACTATAGGTTGCCTTCACGCAGAAGTACTACATATATTAGTGTGTCTCTAATGACGTCAAATTTTGTCTTAGACTGAAGAATTGATGATCTTCGTAAACACAACCGTTCATCAGAACATAGTAGTAACAATGTTGTCAACCGAGTGTCTACAATTGATTTCCCGTTGAAACTTAAATATTCAATGATTTATTGTATACTTGTGTTTTCAAGCATTTATGAAACAATTAGCATTCGTTTTCAATATTCATGTGTGGAGGACTGATTCGTATAGCGGAGTACTTAAGAAAAGAATTAGTTAGGGATTGTATCGCTGACAAAACACCTTGAAACTGTTCACTATGTGATAGATGAACCCACTCTATTCCTCCAGATCTCGAATTTATTTGTTCATACTTTTTCACCTTAATTTTTCGGGCGAATTCCTGGATCTGTTCTTTTTCTTTAATGTCACATTATTCCAACCTTTTACTGATACATTTTATGATTATCGTGTGCAAATGTGCTGTGGCAACTAAGTCAAAGAATATGCGTCACTCTGTGCTGATGGGGATTAAATATTTTAGAATTTTTATAATAATATGAAGCTAACATTTCATGTTCTATATCTGAATGTTGATCACTCCTCACATTACCTTAAGACAAGAACTAGCCACATCTAAATCCCTTACTTATTATATTAAAAACAATATTTTGGGGCGAATTCGAAGCTAGGAGGAGTCTTGAAAGTAGCATATAGGCATTGGCCAAAAATATCTGCTATGATTTGTCAGAATTTGATATCAAGAATTGCTTGAGAAACATTACGCTTACAGGTCGTTGATTGAAAGGATTCAGAATAAGTTATATTTGTTAGTAGTCGTAACTTCACTATGAAGTGCGTGTGAACACAACTCACTTGCGCACGTTTGTGAATAAACTTATTATTTTCACGTTTCAGAGGAGTTAGTGTTATTTAAAAGCACCAGCTCTACAATTGGCTGTTTGACATTTTTAAATAACACAAAGAGTTTGATGTGTTTTGATGCCTTTGATTACAGTTATGATTAGCGTTGTAACTAACCTTTGATAAGCGATTTCAGATTAAAAAGCTTCACCAGGGCTACTCTAAAGGTAATGGATTTAAAATTGCACAACGTGTACAAGCAGTATAAAAAATATCAGCCCTTACTACGAAAGTGTA